CTTCCGTCAAACAATTTAGGGGATTATGTCCCTTTCTCCTTCAGAAAATCATGTAGTGGCGTTTCCCCTATCCATACTTTGGAAGTACGTCAAGAGGATCAATTGGTGGAACATCAAGCGTAAAGATCGCAAGTGTTAACGAAGTGGAAAGCACTGACGAAATCAACTCCATCTAGTCTTAGGACTAAAGGGAGGTAAAGTGAATGTGCCTAATTTCTCTGTACATAGTGACATCATGAAGTATGAATAAATTTGAAGTTACATTCTCATAAGGTGCATGCGAGTCAACACATTCGATCACTAGGGAGTTGAGGAAGCGGCTTTGTTTGCAATAAATGGGGCAGAAGAACCCCAAAAAGGGAGTATCATCTGGTTTGATAAGAACCATGAAAAAGAACTTCAGATTGCTTAACATTTGTTAAGAAGGCTTTCAATTTTATTAACTACCAGTCTCAAAGCAAAGAAAGTTTGTCGTCTCAAGTCTAGTGAATCTTCTCTTTTAAGATTTCCACGGATGTGTGGTGGGTGACTTTAAGTTTGGAAACCTGAATTATACGTATACGTAACGTTGGTAGCGAAATTGTCGAAGTATCAAAAACGAGCCTGAATTTATATAGGAGTTCACAAAGCTCTTCCCTAACAAAATCGCTGAACTGCTTTGCGATAATAATAAGCTGCTGTAAATAAGTTGACTCTACCTGACCAATGATTTCATCGGGCACGTGGGTCCACTCAAATCCCTTTCCTTCAAAGGAGTAATCGATGATATCGACACCTCGACCCGTTTCGAGAATGAGAGAATCGTAGTTGATCAAAGCAGCTAATCCACTTAGTAAATGACGCCACAACTGGACCCGTAGATCGGCCTTCATGTCTGCACACCGACTAGAAATGAGAACAACAGACAGAGAGCGACAGTTAAATCTACCGATTATAGCATCCATCAATGGGTTTTAAATGACATCGACTTCGCCAAGATGTATCCTCTGACAATAATGCGACTCACGTGATGGAAGTGACAACTTCAAAAAGGACAGTTGCACCACCGTTTATTAAGAAGTGATCACTAAATTCACAACAAGTCATGGAATGCAACAGTTCTCCAAGGCGTTCCGAAAGATTTTCAACTTCATCCAAGCGTTCTGGCTTGCAAAGACACTCACAAATGCAGGCAAGCAAAGCAATCAAGTCCTTAGAAGAAAGCTCTGGAGCCTGTACAAGCTCAACTAAATCATTTGTGAGAAGGAAACGTTTCTAAAGGCGATCTATCCGAGGGCAATAAGTAACGACTTACTGAATCAGAGATGTAATCAACCAGTGAATCACCAGAAAATAGACCCAAGCGAAATTTATTTATATCGGTAACAGGTTCTTGAAAACTACACATGGGAACCAAAGAAATATTAAAAGAATTTATCAAACGTACGACTCAAGAATGCGTTTCATTATATCATCCATTGAGGTAGTCTATAATGTGCAAAATAAAAATAAACCGTGTCCATACTCTGGACATTTGAAAGTTCTTGGTAGCGGTACGATATTTAACTCTAAAGACAATGAGCTCGCTGGGAGCAGATTTTCGTAACAGAGGCGATTCGTTCATCTGCAAAGAAAAGATAATAAAAAAGTGCTAAAAAATTACACAGCAAAGTTGCAAATAAAGCAATAAAACCCTTAAAATGCAAATACGCAAAAATACAACAGAAGTTCTAATGCATCTGCAAGAGACATAACTGTGATGGGATCATGAAAAATGCATGTCTAAAAAAAGTCAACTTCCACTTCGTCAATAACAAAATATTTAATCAAAAAGTCCCATTAGTAAAAGCAAAAAACAATCGTTTGCGTATTTCCTGCTTAATTAGTACAAAAAGCAAAGGAGCAAGAAGGAGACCAAGGCAGTTGAGCGGCGCGCGTTTCAGACGACCCATTTAGCACCCCAGCTTCAAGGACATGCACAACGCTAATTGTAAATTACGATGAGAAAGATAAAACAAAAAATGCTCTTAAGACACAAGGCGAAAACAAGTATCCGACAATAACAATCTTTAGCGAAAATCTTTTAATTAGCTTTAGTTATTATTTTGTTTCACAAACTTCGGAAGATGAAGGAGCTAAACCTAAAGAGCTACATGTTAAATTTTTAGTTTGCCAGTGTTTGCGATCTGTATATTTTAATGGAAGTTGATAAGTTTACTGTAGTGACGCGGGACTACTCAGAGGGTGAAAGCAGACATAAGTGAGGTTGAATAGGTGCATTCCGAAGACGACAGGGCAAATAGGGCCTGAGCATGGTCCTA